GTTAAAGTTTGGCACACTCTGCTTCAGCGGCCTGGGTTTGCTTCCCAGTTGTAGAACCGCACCACCCGTCTGTCAGTTGCCATGCTGTGGCAGTGGCTCACACAGAAGTACCAGAAGAACTTACAGTTGTGATGTACAACCATGTACTGGGGCTTTGGGGAGAAAAAAAATATTGTTCTCCTCTATTCAGGATACCATGAGGGCGCTCACATCTGCTCTTAGGAGCGGAAGTCAACAGAAGTAAGAGGTAACTTACTAGAGGTAACTAGTCAGCCTCGAGCCTGCTGCGAGCTGCTGCTGCTCTTGGCCCCTGCTAGGAAAATGCCAGTCATGCTGACTCCCTTGGAAAACTCTCATTTTTTGTATGGAAGTAGCTGTTTCCTGGGTGGAACTTGGTATTAAACCCTTACCACCCTAAAGAATTCTACCAATTAGTGGGGTGACTGTCCACATCAGAGCCATCCTGGCTACCGGTGGGCTTGTGGAGTGGGACTTCTGGAGCTCGTTGTGTGATTTAAGGAGCAGCCCTCTCCACCATGGAGTCCAAGGGCTGCTTTTCAAGAGCTGGCTGAACCTCAGCTGCCCCCCTGCCAAGCTCATGTGAGAAAAAAGAAGACGGGGGAGTGATCACAGGCTCCTCTCCCCTGGAGGTTAGCTTATTTTTCAGTTAATAAGGGGAATGGGGACCCTTTCTGATATTTTCATTTCAGGGGGAGCCCAGGTTCCTCAATGAGTTGGCTTCCTGGCAGCAGACACTTCCTCTAGAACTAGCTGGGCAGTTTCAAGGAGAAAGGCACTCGCCATCATTCTCTCCCACAAGCCATGCCTCGGAATGATCAACTCCAGGGCTCTTCATCCACCAAGTGGCAGATACACACACCCCTGGCCTAGGGCACAGAGTATAGCAATAGTTGGAAAGGAGTTGGAAACATCCTCCTGGGGTAGGGAAAGCCATCTCAAATAAGGTGAGCCTTCAGGGGGCTTTTGTTCTAACGTTGTGGCAGGGCCTAACCTGCTTGGCTGACAACTCGCTTGAGAGAGTAGCAACTTATGTTTCTTCAGAAAGAAGTGTTTGTGATGGGGTGGGCTGGGGTCAGGAGCAAGCCAGTCTCCTCACGGGCTTCTTACCAAGTTCTGTGTTGCAACTTACATGATTCGAAACCTATTCCACTTTTGGCTTCTTCTTCAATTAGCAGCTGGGGCCTGTAGGACTTGTATTCATTTTCTTTTGCTGTGTAACAAATGACAAAAATTTTAGTGTCTTACAACACAAATTTACTATCTCTCAGTTTCCACGAGCCAAGAGTCTCGGCATTGGTGTAGCTGAGTCCTCTGCTTAGGGTCTCACAAGGCTGTAATCAGTGTACCAGCCAGGGCTGAGGGCTCATTTGAAGTTCCAAGTTATCTTCCAAACTGACTCACTGTTGGCAGAATTCAGTTTTTTGAGGCTGTAAGGTTAAGGTCCCTCCTTTTTTGATAACTGTCAACCAAGGGTTATTCTCAGCTACTAGAGGCCAACTGCCCTTTCTTGCCATGTGGTCCTCTCCACAACATGACAGTTTGTTCCTTCAAAGCCAGTGGGAGAGTATCAGCTGCACTTCGAATCTCTCTGAATTCTATATCTGACCTCTAGACACTCTTTTATAAGAGGTCACCTGATTAAGCCAGGCCCACCCACACTCAAGGTGAGGGGATTTACAGAGCATGCACACCAAGGGGGCCAACAAACTTGGGGGCCATCTTAGAATTCTGCCTACCACAGACTCTATGAAAAGCATTTCATGCTATCAGATTATTTTTTTTTAAACGAGGCCAGCTGCTTTCCATTAGCATACCCCACTCTGGGAAGACAGCAAAGCTCTCAAGCAAAGTCTTCTGAATCCTTGAACGTGAACCAGGCTGTGGTTTAAAAATTTCAACGACCTTGGAAGATAGGCTGTTTCCCCTTGTTTTTTCTCTTTTTTTCCCCTAGAGCCCTTGTTCAGCCCTCAAGTAAGACAGTCTGAGGAGGAAAAGGCAGCTCTGGGGCTTAAGCATCTGGGGGCCAAGAGAGACAAGCAAGCATTTAAATAATGACTGATCATGAAACTTTATATCTCTGCTGGGCCAAACTTCTTGATGACCAGTATGCCATGACTTTATGCTCCTTGGAAGTGATTCTGAAGGCCTCCCATCATTTACTTACATTGTTTCCTCTTTCCTTACTCAGCTTACCAGCTTTTTCATGAATTTCATGCAGAGGGGTCTTTTACCCAAAGTGTGTCTCAAATTGTCCCCATATGTTTAACAAATGGGATCGCTTTTGCCACTGATTCCTACTTGTCAGAGCAACTCCCTGCCCCCACCCCCCGACTCCTGCATTCATCCATCCATAGAAATGCGCAGTGAGCACCTTCTCTGTGCCTGGATCATGCTGGGTGCTGGTGACATCCGGATAAGCAAAATGTGCTCCGTGTCTTCAGGATGACATCAGCTGTGACAGAGGCGTGTGCAAAGGGCCGAGAGCATGGGACGTGGGTGGTCGTCTTTGATCTGGGTCTTGAAGAATGTGTAGGATTTCAAGGATGTGGAGATTAGGAAGGTGGTGTTCTGGGCCAAGTGGACAGCCTGTGCAGAGTACAGAGGATGCGAAAGAACACGGTGTGTTTAGGGAATGACTGGTGATTCAGGGAGACCAGAACATGGGGGTGTGAGTGGGGGTGGATGCTGGTAGAATGGAGGGGACAGGGAACATCAGCTTGTGGAGGGCTTGAATGTGAAGAACTCAGCTTTCATCCTGCAGGCAGCAGGAAGCTGGTAAACTAAGCAGGGGAGGCTTGTGGTCAGATTGGTATTTTAGAGAGAACATTGTGACTTGTTTTGAGATACCAGTGAGATGACAGTAGTTTTTGCAAAATATCATAAATAAAAGTATAGACGAGAGGAGGCAGGCCCAAGGCCACTATTAAAGAGCCCTGGTGTGATTAAGAACAAGTTTACTTTAAACTTATATTAGCCGTAATGAGACACATGGAAGATAGACAGTGATGCCTCTATGAGGAGATGCTTGGGAGGCAAAGCTCTGGTTACTAAAGTCAGCCTGAGGGCAAAGGGAAAGAAGTTTTACCAATGGTGGTGGCTGTAAAGTTGGAGGAAGCAGGGCATCTGTTCCTAAAACCTCCTCCCTGGGGGTTCAGGCCTAGCCCAGCTGGATGGGACTCCACACCCAGGGTCCTTGTGGCTGGGACACCTGGGAATGGACTCTCTGCACCAAGGACAAGAGGGGCCAAGAGTGCTTGATTCTGCACGGGTGAATAACCTAGGGGTGGGGCCCACCTTGCTGGGAGGGAAGGCAGGCTCTGCTAAGTTGGGAAACAAGGAGGTTCCCTCCCCAAGACAAGTCTTCCTCTGCCTCCTATAGCATGCCTCTACTTCTGAGAAATTGCTGACTGCAAAGATGGTTCTTCCACTACTTCCTCTTCTTTTATTGAATTTAGGCATTCATTCAACAAACACTTATTGAGTGCCTGCTATTTGCCAGGTACCATTCTAGGTACTGGGAGATCCAGTGATGAACAAAGTAGACAAAGCCCCTGCTCTTATGGAATTTACATTCTAGTAGAGGAGACAGACAAGAAACCAGTAATTACATTAATATAGAATATAATTTTGGGTAGTGATGAGTGCTATGAAGATGTTAATAAAGGATACTGGCAGTGGAGAGAGACTGGGAGGGCTTTAACTAGGATGATCATGGAGTTCCTCTTTGGGAGGTAATATCTGAGCTGACTTGAATGCTACAGAAGAGTCAGCCTTGCGTTTAGCTGGGGAAAGAGCCCTCCAGGCAGAGGGAGCAGCAAATGCAAAGATCCTGAGATGGAAAGGGGCTGGGTGTGCTGGGGATGAGGAAGAAGGCCAGTGAGGCTGGAGTGGAGGGAGAAAGCAGGAGAAAGAACGGGAGAAAGAGGGAGAAAGTAACAGGGTTGGTGGTCGGGGGGGCTTGTGTGTGGGGCCACATTACCTAAGGCCCAGGGTAAGGAGCTGGGATTTGCTGAATGTGATGGCAAGCCACTGGGGTTTTGAGCAGGGGGCTGACATGACTGATGTGGCTGCTGTCTGGAGAACAGGGAGGCAAAGATGGAAGCAGGGAGACCAGTTAGGTTGTTGCTGTGATCCAGCAATTAGATAATGATGGCTCAAACACGGCAAGAAATGGTTGCATTACAGAAAGACGTTGAAGGAAGAGTCACGAGATGTACTGTTGGACTAGATGTGCCATGTGAAGGAAAGAGAGGAATCAATGACTCCGAGGTTTTAGTCTGAGCATCTGGTTAGTGGCATTTCCTGAGATGAGGAAAGCTGGGCGAAGGAGTGAGTGTGAGGGGAACCAAGAGCTTGATGTGCGCTGTTAGGTGGAGATGTTGACTAGGCAGTTGGTTATAGGAATATGGTGTTTAGGGAAGAGGTCCAGTCCAGAGATAGAAATTTTGGAGTCCGGAGTGTATAGAGAGTATTTAAAGTCTGAATGGGATCATCCAGGATATGGGAGCCACCAGCCACATGTGACTCTCGAGCACTTGAATTGTGGCTAGCCCCAATTGAGATGTACTGTATATGGAAAATACACACACAAGCTTTCAAAGACTTAGTATGAAAAAAAGAATGTAAAATATCTCATTAATGTTATTTTTATAATGATTACATGTTGAAATAATATTTTGGTTCTGTTGAGTTAAATAAAATATATTATTAAAAGTCACTTCACCTGTTTCTTTTTGCTTTTTTAAATATGGCTACTAGAAAATTTAAAATTACTTACGTGGCTTGCAATTGTGGCTCACGTTAACATTTCTATTTAATGGTGTAGGTCTAGGAAATGATTGTAGAAAAAGAAGAGTGCCAAGGACAGAGCCCTTGGGTGCTACAACATTTCAAATTCACGGAGAAAGGAAAGTTCCAGCAAGGGAGATTGAGAAGGAACAGCAAATGAGGTAGGAGGAGAATTAGGGGAGCGGGGTGTTCGGAAGGGCAAGTGATAAAATTATTCAAAAAGGAAGGCGTGTCAGATGCTGCTGGGACATCGTGTAACCGACAGTTGGATTTAACGAGAGCAGTTCTGTTTAGAAGCCTGAATGGAGAGAGCTCAAGAGGATAAGTGAAGCCATAAAGGCAGTAAGTACAGATCACTCTCTTGAGTTTTGCTTTAAAGAGATGCAGAGAAACGGGATGGAAATAGGAAGAGGATTTCGAGACAAGAGGAGCTTTGTGTGTTTTGTTGTGGGTTTTGGTTTGTTTAGAGGGGGAGAAAGCTCAGTTGATGGTGGCGCTGTCCTCAGGGCCCTTAGGATTCAGTTGGGGAAATAGGGCAAGAGTGCTGTAAAGAATTGGAGACAGGCTAAACTCAAGAGTTAGTGAAATCCAAATCAGTGCTTCTATTAGTGCTTCTATTAGTGCTATTAGTGCAAATTATTGATTCTATTAGTGCTCTAGGGATGCAGATGCCACCAAGATGCCCTCTTTCTTTGTTCTCTCCTTTGTCTTTCATGTTTTTCTCTTCGTTTGTTGTTTTTCTTTTTCTACCCTTAACAGGTGTGGGTCAAGGACAAGGTTAGCCTACTGTGGCCTGGTGTTTTGGAAAACAGGCTCCTTTTCCACGGACTTCTCTGAAGCTCAGAGACAGTTTATTTCCCCAGTGTCTAGAAAGCCTCTTGAGTGCAGGGGCAGGCGTGCTGCCATGTTTATTAAGATAGCCCAGGATCTCACCAGTCATGTGAATTGCTCCTAGCCCAAGGAATTCTCCTCTTCTCCCTCTGGATTTCTGAGGGGGTTCTGAATTTCCCTACCCTTTGACCGTTCCAGATCTCCAGATGGAACTTGTGTGTGTGTGTGTGTGTGGTGATTAGTGAGCATTGTATGGACCTGAGGTTAAGTCATCTTCAGGCAGAATTGTGATATTGCTCATAGAGCTTAAGTGACTTGAACAAAGTGTCAATACCTTTCGGCCAAAGCCCACCAGTAACATACTTGTCATTGAACGAGTTGGGTTGTACTTATTGCAGCGAGAAGGAACACACACCGAGGGGAACCATAGGACTTCTCAGTGATAGGATCTGAAGCCATCTTGACACCAGGGCCTGTCAGCCCTCATTGCGGTTTGGAAGCTTTTGCTTTCCAAGGTCTCAGTCACTCTTGCTGGGTGACCTCTCAAGTTGGCCTTAACCTCAGAGCCTATGGTCACCCTTCTCTGCCTCCAGAGTTGTATCAGGGGCTTATGGCTAGAGAGCAGCACAAGATGGGCTTGGAGCCCATCTATAAAATAGCAATGGCAGCTTGACTATATCTGGGAGCAGAGCACATCTAGGGTGGTGAGGGCACCCCAGAGCCTACTTAACCCCTCTTGATGGTACTTGAGTCAGTCACATCAAGACCCCAGGGGGAGCTATTATGAGGGCAGTCTCTGCATGCCTCTGTACTGCCCTCCTTTGGTGTATGAATGTAACACCCTTTGTCTGGATTAAGGTGCTCATCAGATCCCCCTCCCCCTCCCAAACTCCCATTAAAAATGTCAGCATTGATTTATAAAGGTTTGATTGTCAACTGACAGGCTTCCCCAGACCTGTCATCCCTCGCTTTTGCTAGAAGGCTGGATTGAATGGAGATTTATAGTTGACTATCACTTGATTATCGGCACTAATGGAAAAGAGCACAAGGACAGATAACTCCCCCATGACATAGACTCAGAGTCGTGGGAGAATTATCCTTTTGATGATTGTTTTGGTTGTTTCCCATTTTTGGCTATTTAAAACAATGCTGTGATAAACATTCTTGCAGGTCTATTTTTGTGTACAAGTGTGAGTATATCTACAGGGTAAAGTTTTAGAAGTGATGCTACTGGATCAAAAGGTATGTGCATTTTTAGAATTCTGATATTGTGAAATTGCTCTTCAGAGAGCGACTGACACTCCATAATGTATGAGAGTGTCTATTTTGCCCATCCTTTTCAGCAATGGAACATCATCAAAATTAAAAGTTTTTTGACAATCTGATAGGTGAAAATGTTAACTTGCTGTTTTGATTTGCATTTCTTTAGTTCTAAGCGGGCCTGAGCTTTGCTTTATGTGCTTATTAACTATTTCTATTTCTTTTCCTATAAACTGGCTGTTGTATCCTTTGCCCCCTTTTATATCGAGTTGTCTTTTATTGATTTATATGCACTCGTGACAAATTAAGAAAATTGGTCCCTACATCTGTATTTGTTGCAAGTATTGTTTCCTAGTTTTTTTTCTGTCAACTCTACTTTTTTTGGCTAAAAGTTTAAATTTTTTATGTATTCAAATATCTCAATCTTTTCCTTTATGGCTTATCAATACAATTTTGTCTGCCTGGGCACACCCATGAATAGTAACGGGCCTCCAAATCTAATGGGCCCAACACAAAGCAATAGATCAGGACTTTTACATTTGTCTTTTTTTTTGATAACAGCTTTATTGAGATATAATTCACATCCTATACAATTCACCCATTTAAAGTATATAAATCACTGCTTTTTAATATATTCAAAGATTTGTGCACCCATCACCACAATTAATTTTAGAACATTTTCATCACCTCAAAAAGAAACCCTGTACTCTATCTCTCAAAAAAAAAAATCCCCTTATCCCTAAGCAAGACACCTTCTGTGTCTACATATTTGCCTATTCTGGACGTGTCATATAGATGGAATCCTTGTCTTTTTTAAGGAAGAATAATTCTCTTTAATGGCAATTCCCTTTGTATATCTTTTCTTGAATAGTTTAAGAATCTAACTGAAGGATAAAGGGTAGGGTAAAATGATTGTGTTATGTCCTGGATATCAAATGATGCTCTGCTTTTTTTTCCTCTGGATTTTCTTTCAGTGCTCTTACCATGGCTGAATCCCTAAGTGAAGTTTCTCGCTGTCTGGAAGTTCTGGAGGCCAGTGATGAGAGTAAGTACCCCAATAAAGTCTTGATAACTAGAACTAGATTTGTTTACTGTGTTTAGCCTCTGGGAAAAAGAGTCGAGTCACAAGAAAAGAAGTTCATGTCAGATTTCTAATAAGAGTAGATTCAGGCCACGTTTACTTTTCAGTCTTCTACCTCTTCTCTTTCATCTCCAACTCGGACAGACAAGAGGTTTGTCTGAGGCCCTGCAGTCTTCTTTGGGGATGGTTACCACGTTCTGCTTACTAAGGCAGGGGGAGTATTTCTGCTTAATCAGAAAAAAATCAGAGCAGGCCATAATCTGAGAGATTCAACTAGGGTTTTACCGGAGAGAGCAATTCAGGTTTAACCAACAGGTAGATACATTTGTAATTCGAAGAGTAAAGAGAGGAGAGAAACAAAAGTCCACCACAGGCTTCTGTTACGTAGCATTCAATGGACAAAAATTCTCTTTTTGCAAAACTTACTCAGGTGTGTATTCATTGCCTAAATTGTAGTGCCACCTATGAGTGATAGGTGACCGTGAGTGGGATAATAGAAAGGGAGGCAAAAGTCACTAAATAATGATAAGCTTTATTGACACCGAAAAACAAAAAGACAACCAACAAATGAAAAACAGAAACAAAGGAATCTTAAGACATAAAATGAGACCTTGAATTGAAAGACAACTGAATTGAACAGTTCACTGGGTTGTTCTTCAAGTTGTGCTGAGTTTCCTCTGCAGTGTGTGGTGCAGAAAGCTTGCTCCGGAAGGACAGACAGAGGGGAACCTTCTTGTGGTTTCTCAGAGGCCTGACTTCACGGATGATGTGGGGTGGGGAATGCTGAGCCTGGTGCATGGATCCTTGAGGGCAACCCCAGGTCAACGAGCAGCCAATCCACACTGTGTGGTGGTTGCTATCTCTTGCTGCCCCCCCAGCCCAGCTCTCCACCAACAAAGCTATACCACCACCATACTCAGAGCTCCCGCACAGGAAGGAATGGAAACACTCTTTTCCTTCTAGTGCCCGTAGTTGAAAGAGACACACATTCCTCAAGGTATTTTGAATCCTCATGGAAAAATAAGTTGTTGTTTCTCCACAGAAAAAATGGAAAATTGGGGGGAAGTTGGAATATATGCCTACTTAATTTTTAGCACCTGTTACAGTGCTAAAGTCACTCACTAGTCATTTTGTTAATTTCGAACATAAAAATGTGTTAATGAATAATTTTGTTTGCTCATACATCCTTATGTTTGGTACAGTCAGTTTTACAGCCTGAAAGGTTTATTAGACGTGTTTTTATTCAGTTATTGTTTCCAAACACTCAGAGCATAAAGTTGTTCCCCTTTCAGAAGGCCAGAAGGAGAGCCACCTGTCAAGAATCAATAAATCTTATTCCTTCTGTTTGAAGAACAGCATGCTCCTTCCTGTTTGTGAGAGGACACTGCCCACTGTCATGTTGGTAGCTTGAAATGGCCGGGGTGGGAGTATTTATACCACAGAAATAGGCAAATACTACAAATAAGGGCATTTTCCCCAGAGATCCAATGATAAACATTTTCCAGCAAAAAATGGATTATAGTAATTAGTATAGTATAGTCATCAGGATTTTCCATAAAAATCTCATTATTTCATAGATTTTAGAAATCATTTGAGGGTGGGGGGATTAAGAGAGGAGCCCAGAGAGCAAAATATGGATTATTTTAGACTCAGCCTACTCTGTACTGTAGACTTTTCAGCACTTTCACGGTGACCCATCACAGTAGTTCTATGTGGTCAAACATCATTTTAAATATTTTATTATCATAAAAATTAGTTTAATTTTTTCTGAAAAAAATTAAAGAAGGGAACTTGGGAAAATAGATGTTTCCTGTTGTATCTTCATGTTTTATTCTTTTTACCTCTAGGTAGAATTGACAAGTTTGTCTCAACCGTGACCCTACATAGGTACATCCTAGTAGATGAGAAATGGCCCAAGTCATTTAAAACTGAAATTACTCAAATGGTGATTATCAAGCACACAGTCCTACTGTTTTCTTTCATTGCCCTACCCCATGCTGCTTCCTGCTTCTAATCATGTATATTTTAGAGTTCACTATTGAGTTATACATATGGAGCTGCTTCTCCTTATCTATAGATAGATAAATTTAGATACATAGAATTGATAGATCAATTCTACAGATAGAATTGAATCTGGTCTTAATAAACAAGTAATTATTGATTCCTTAGTACTAGTTCACATTTATTAGCTCTTGCTACATGCCAGATTCTATGCTAAGCTCTTTACCTACATTATTTACAACTTACATCAACCCCAATAAGCGTCAGTGTTTAAATTATAGGATGCTTAAGGATGACTCTGCTGAGTGATCTCAATTTAAGGGAATTGACAAGCTGTGTTGTCATTGTGCACCCCTCAATGGACTCAGTTGTCCCTCGAGTGTTACTGCATGCCTTGCACTGTGCTAGTTGCTAAAGGGGCTGCTAAAGAGGAGCTGCCTACAGCCTTGATGGAGGAACAGTAGCTAAGACATAGAACTGTATCTTATTCCTTTCTCATTGATACCCCAAACATAGTAAGTGCTTGATCTTAATAAATATTTATTGAATAGATGAATGAATGAATGCACAGACTAGCAATCAGTTGTAAAACTTGTGGTGCCAACAGTCAAGTTTTAGGTATGCAGAGAGAAGTGTGAATTGTAGTGATTGGTGGGGAACTGGCCTTAAGGCAGGCCTTGAAGTTTAGAAAGCTTTCTACTAGGCAGGCCCAGGGGGAATCAGTACACAAATGGGTCACAGCATTTCAGAGCTAGAGGGACCCTAGTTCAGCATTTCTCAGATTGTGTTTTGCTTAGGTGCAAATGGGAGACAGTATTGTTGCCTAATTTCTTGCAGCTTCACCGTACACATAAGCATGTTGAAGTTTCAGAAAAGTCTTGTTGGAAAGCAGACCCCTAAACTTTGTGTAATGCAATTAATTGGACTGCAGGTCCTTTTTTCAGGCAACAGGCCTATGAGTATCTCTCTGAACACACGTTAGGAGATGCTGATTAGTGTCACCTTATTTTCCTGCTGAATCTCAGAGAGGCTGAGTGACTTACCCAAGGTCACAGAGCTAATTGACTGCAAGGATTCCAGAGTTTTCCAGTTCTTAGGTGGTGCTTTCCGTTACACCACCAAGCCTTTCCAATGGCAGCCCCACTGGCAACTCCCTTGGCGGGGTTCGTCACTGCCAGCGGCCTTCCGGAGACCAGACTGTTGGGGATTGGAATGAGACGCCTGAGTTGGTAAATTACTGCATGTGAAAGCAATAGAGCTAATTCCTCCCCTCTGAAGAATGCAGCACAAACTCCCCTCCCCTTTCGCTTTTTCTTCTGAGCCCTGATAAGGATGTGTGTGCTTACTAGGAAACTAAAGAAAGCCCAAACAGCCTGAGGAGCCTTGAAAGCTCACATTCCTCGTTGCTGCCCTGGTAGTTATTATAGATAGAGAAAACTTTCAATTATCTGCATGTGCAGAGGGCAGCAGCCCTGTAGATAATCCAAACCAATCGGCAATAATTGAAGAACACACACAATGCACATAATATACGTGCACACACCTGCACGCTTGTATGCACCCCTTGCAAAACCCTTTGGTGTCCAATTTTCTCATGCCTTTTGCACAAGCAGCTTCTTTGCCCAGCAGCCCTTTCTTTTTTCTGATTCCCAGCCCTCTCCTTTTCTCATAAATTCCTTTCCCAAGGAAGTCTTCCCTGACTGCACCAACCGATCGCACTCACTCCTAGGGTCTGCATCCTTTCAGCACACAGGCTGGGCAGTAGCAACTCCCACATGGATTTCCAAGGGTCCTGAAGTGTTTTTCACATGTGGAAGCTTGGCTCCCCAACTGGATTGCAATGCCTTCAGCCATCAGGGTGTTGTCAGGGGGGTACCAAGTGCTTACATTGGCTAAATAACTGCGGCGCATGAATGAACTTCTTAGGGCCAAGAAAGAGGTGTGTGCTAATAGTTGAAATTAAGAAACAAGTAAATACCTGGTGGGTTGGGCCTGAATAAGAGGCTGCCCAAAGACCACAAGCTGTGGTCCAGGCTTCTGCTTTCACTAGAAACTTAGACACTTTGTTACTGAGTTATTAAGAAGAGAACAAACAAAATGAATGGTTCTCTGGGCACTGGGGGCCAGGCTAAGATCTTCAGGGCACCTGGATCACAGTCCTGGTTCATCACAAAAGCCCTGTTTCCTCTTCTGTCTTCTCTTCCTCCATCACACTCTGCCTCACTTTCATTTCTAACTTCCAGGAAAGAAGAAATCCAAATTTAAAGTCTTCAAGAGCTTTTTTGTCAAGAAAAAGAAAAAAGAGCCTAGAAGTGCCCAGGGAGGGAAGAGGCTGAAACCAAGCTTGTCCAGCAGCAATATTGAGGTCTGTTCTCTGAAGCCAGTTCAGGAAAGCCGAGAAACTGAGCCCAGGTAAGCTCAGGTGGGGTGGAGGCGGGTGAGGACAGGACAGGAGGTGGAGAGCTGGATCCAGGTCCCCCCCTTGGCAGCCAAATCACCGCTGGGCCTTTGGTCCCAGGAACTCTTGGGCTCCCTGCCTGTGGGGGCTGGGTCTGCAGCCATGTCCCAGGGGGCCTTTCTCTGTGCTCATATGTATGCTTATTGTCTGGGCTGCACAAGTCAGTGGGTTGGAGCATGGCACATGCACAGCTCATTCCCCAAGAGCACTGGGTGAGAGGGTGCAGGTAGATAAGGGAACCCCTTCCCTGTTACAGTGACAATAGCTGGAGACGTGGGGCAGACCCCTAGTAAGGAGCTGGAGGCCTCTATTTCTTAAGGTAAGGATAGCCTACCTCGTTCAGGAAGCTTGGTCTGGTTTGCTTGCCTGGCCCTCAGACTGCAGATCTGTGATGACTAGGCAAGGGGAGCTAGAGCTTGTAATGTGTAATTGAAATCCCATCACTGTGATAATGTAAAAACAAACAGCAAGCAAAGAATGCAAATCCATTTCTCCCTCCATCCCAGGAGACTGGGAGAAACGCTGCAACTGGTCACCGAAGGTGTGGGGAAGACTGTTTCTCAGCCACCACTGCCACCGTTATTCACATTTTCATCTGTGTTGGCCCAACTTCCACACCCTATTGTGGAAAATCTGAACACCCACTAACCCCAGCTGTTCCTGGATCAATCAGATCCCCCTCTACGGGTTTCCACTTGGGCCTGTTCTCGGGTCTTCAACTCCAGACTTCTCTGGACTCCCCACAGAGCTCGCCTGTGCTGCTGCCCATTGCCTCAAGGCTTGGCTTGGTGGTAAGGGACAGTTAGTGAACACATTCTACTGCCCCTAACAGTTATCACGGAGGGCTCCTTCAGAAGGACCTTAATGAGTGCACCGAATGTGAGGAACTTCTGGCAACTTTGCTAGTGGAGGAGATGGTTTTGGACAGACGGGCTTGTTTCATACCTCACAAATCATACCATTAGAGACCATTGCATTATAGCTCTAAGTAAGACTGGCCCTGCCAAAAGCCCGAGGGTGGGGTCGGGGAGGGGCGTTTGGGTTTACTCTGCGTTGTCTCTACCAATTGGCAAGGGCTGTCTCTACTGAAGTCCTACATTTCCCCTTCTGACTTGTCCCTCCCCCTCCAGAATGGTCCATGTAGTCTGACGCTTTCTCCATACTAAGAGGGTGTGTGCGCGTGCACCTCTCTGAGAGATGGGGGATGAGGGAGGGAGGGAGGAGGAGAGAGTTCTGTGTCAGTGCATGAACTAGTTCACATACAGGAAAGGGTATTTTTCTAAGGACCCAAGATAGATCTTTTTTGTTTGCAAGGAACATAAATTAATTAAGAGTATAACTTAGGAGGCCTGAAGATCACCCCTGACTCCAGTCTCTTGCTTAATGTGCTAGCGGAGAAACCCTGGAGAATGTCACTCATACTTTTTACTTCTATCGAAGCAATCAATCATAACAAAACTTATAGGCAGCCCTCCCTGGCCTGCACAACAGGACCAGTATCTATTTCCAACACCATGTTAAGCTGTATCTGATGGAACAAACAAATCCCATTCCTCCATTTGATTTTTGAATGGGTGCTGATGTAATGTGCTTTATTGCCCTTTATTAAGGCCGAGAGTAAATTTGGGGTTTGGGGTATATTTTCTTCTTTTTGCCTCCAGGGAACAGATCAATAAGCACTAGATATGGTCAGTGGACAAGAGATTGGGTTTCTGACAAACTTGGCCACAGCTGGTGCTAATGTAACCCTTTGATCAGGGAGATCCTGGCACTAGAGAGTCAATCCAACAGCTGCACTCTTGCTCGTGCACTCAGGGCCTAAGATTTCCTTGTGGTTTTTCTGCACAAAGCAGGGGAGACACGGTAGTCACTGATGTTACGCTGGTCCCAAGACTGATTTGAGCCAGCAGGACATAGAGACACAGTGAATGAAAGTGTATCTGTGTGCATAATGAGCGAATGTGTGTATTTAGAGATGTCTGGAAATGCTGCCCTCTCAATGTTGCATCGGTCATACATGCCCATTAAGTGTTTGTTTAGAGTCACGTTAATTTTCTGCTGGGCTGCTATGTTAATAAAGCAGAGCATGTTGCCTTTAGCACCAAGGCCACCTGGGTAGCAGCGTTTTCTAGGAAAAAGGTGGGTAGGAGTTTAATACAAAGTGGCAGACGCCTGCTTCCTCTCCTCTCTTGCTGGCTCACAAGCCACCTTAGTGTGGGTGCCATTTTAATCCCCATGACACCCGATTGTCCTTGGAGTGTGTCACGATCAAGTATACCCATGTGCATTTCCTGCAGCCGGACAGGCTCACGATAACAGGTGGCTGCTAGCCCTACAGTGCCCAAGTGGCCGCTCTACTTACTCCTTAAAGATTGTTTTTTAAAGTGCCAACCTACATGTATTGTTTGGTAATAAAGGTAATAAATGCAAAAAAAAAAGTATTTGAAATTTTAAAAAATTATTTTATCTAATTTTAAAATATTGTCATCCCTCCATAAAAGAAACCCTGTAACCATTAGCAGTCAATCCCCATTCTACCCTACCCCCACCCCAGCCCTAGGTGACCACTTATCTACTTCCTGCCTTTATAAATTTGCTTATTCTGGATATCATATAAACAGAATGATACAATATGTGGACTTTTGGGACTGGCTTGTTTCCCTTAGCATGTTTTCAAGGGTCATCCATGTTGTAGCATGAATCATTACTTTATTCCTTTATACTACTGAATAGTATTCCATTGAATGGATATGCCACATTTTATCTATTCATCAGTTGACAAATATTTGGGTTGTTTCCACCTTTTGGCTATTAAGAACAATGCTGCTATGAATATTTGTGTAGAAGTTTTTGGGAGGATATATGTTTTTATTTCTCTTGACTATATATCTAAGAGTAGAATTGCAAGTCATATGATAATTTAATGTTTAATTTTTTGAGGAAACACCAGACTGTTTTCCAAAGTGGCTGCACCATTTTGCATTCCCACTAGCAGTGTATGGGGGTGCCAATTTCTCCACATCCTTGCCAACACTTGTTATTATCTGAATTTTTGTTTCTAGCCATTCTAGTGGGTATGAAGTGGTATCTCATTATGATTTGGATTTGTATTTCCCTGCTGATTAATGATGTTGAGCATCTTTTCATGTGTTTCTTGGTCATTTGTATATCTTCTTTGGTGAAATGTCTATTGAGATCCTTTGCCCATTTTTTAATTGAGTTATTTATCTTTTTATTATTGAATTGTATGTGTTTCTTATGTATTCTGGATAGAAGTCCCCTTATCAGATGTAAAATTTGCAAATATTTTCTCCCATTATGTGGGTTGTTTTTTCACTTCTTGCTAGTATCCTTTTAGACACAAAAGTTTTTAATTTTGATGAAATCTGTTTATCTCTTTTGTTGCTTAAGCTTTTGGTGTCATATCTAAGAATTCATTGCCAAATCAAGGTCATGAAGATATACCCCTATGTTTTCTTCTAAGAGTTTAAGCTGTTAAATTTAGGTCTTTGGTCCATTTTGAGTTAGTTTTTATATGTGGTGTGAGATGAGTCCAACTTCATTCTTTTGCATGTGACTGTCTAGTTGTCCCAGCATCATTTGTTGAAAAATCTATTCTTTCCCCATTGAATGGTCTTGGCACCCTTGTTGCAAATCAATTAACCATAGGTGGATGGATTTATTTCTGGATTCTCAATTTTATTCCATTGATCTATATGTCTATCCTTATGCCAGTACTACTCTGTCTTGATTACTGTAGCTTTGTAGTAAGTTTTGAAATTGGCAAATGTGAGTCCACCAACTTTGTTCTTCTTTTTCAAGGTTGTTTTGGATATTTGTGGTACCTTTCATTTCACTATGAATTTTAAGATCAGTTTGTCCATTTCTGCAAAAAAAATTTTGTTAAGGCAGCTGGAATTTCAATAGAGATTACGTTAAATCTATAGATCAATTTGTGGAGTACTGCCATCTTGACAAGATTATTCTTCCAAGCCATCAACGTAGGTTGTCCTTCCATTTATTTAGGTCTTCTTTAATTTCTTTCATCAGTGTTTTGTAGTTTTCAGAGTATAAGTTTTACATGCCTTTTGTTAAATTTTTTCCTAAGTTGTTTACTCTTTTCGATGCTATTGTAGATGGAAGTGTTTTCTTAATTTCATTCTTGGATTGTTCGTTGCAAGTATATAGAAATACAATCAATTTTTGTATGTTGATCTTGTATCCTGCAACCTTGCTGAACTTGCTTATTAGTTCTAGTAGTTTTTAATAGATTCCCTAGGAGTTTTATACACAAGATCAAGTCATCTGTGATAATTTCACTTCTTCCTGTCCAATATGGATGCCTTTTATTTCATTTTCTTACCTAATTTCCCTGGTTAGAACCCCCAGTACAATGTTGAATAGAAGTGATAAGAGCAGACATCCTTGTCTTGTTCCTGATCTGAGAGAGAAAGCATCCAGTCCCAGTCTTTCATCATTAAGTATGCTGTTAGCTGTGACTTTCTCACGGATGTCCTCTGTCAAGGTTGAATGTATCTAACATGAAAGGGGGTTGAATTTTACGGATACTTTTTCTGCATCTATTGAAATGACCATGTGGTTTTGTTTTTATTTTATTGATATGGTGTATTACACTAATTGGTTTTTATATATTAAAGTAACCTTGTGTACCTTATCCTACTTGGTCATAGTGTATAATTGACTTTATATGTTGCCGGCTTCAGATTGCTAGTATTTTATTGAGGATTTTTGCATCTATATTCATAAGAGATATTGGTCTGTAGTTTTCTTTTCTTCTGATATCTTTGGTTGACATTTTTAAAAGGTAAAATATATTCCTCCATCCCGAAAGGAGTCTTTTGTGCCTTTAGCCTTTCATTTGTTTCTAACTTTCCCCTGATTTGTTTTAACGCATAATTGGCATCAACCTGGCTCCATTCCCAATCAGAAGGTATTTCTATCTAGAATTAGCAAGCTAAGGGGTAGGGGTTTGAAAATAGGACAGATGTATTGCAGAATTCTTGTGTGAAAGAGGAAAAGACCTGGGGAATAAAAGTCTCCAGTATCTGGGCAGATATTTGGTATTTAAAAACAAATCAAAATAATAACACTAGAGAGAAATTTCGATGTGAAAGATGTTTTATAACTCTCACCTTAATAATAGCAAGACTCATGGTGTTCCCTCCCATTATGCAGGGTTACTACTATTGAATAGTACATTTTAAATGGGTGAATTGTATGGTATGTAAACCATATCTCAATAAAACTATTAAATAAAAAAGATATGTGTTGATCATTTAAAAAATCAAAATTATACAGAAGTACATAAAGTAGACAATGAAAATCCCTCTCGTGTCCCTAGGACCATTCCTCAGAGGGAACAAACGCTAACAACTTGGTGGATATCCTTCTAGACTTTTTTCTGTGAACGTAAATTATATATGTATGCAATATATGCATATATATTAAATGGGACCATACTACTCTTTATGTTTTTCACTTAATATCTCATGGACAACTTTCTATGTCAGCACAAATGCATCCTCGCCCTCCTTCTGAGGTGTCTATGGTAGGCCATATTCTGGATATACATGTGTCTTTGGTTCCTATGGCCCTTGGACTGCTTTTAAGAGACCTTTTCCTTCCTGTCCAGGCCCAAGAGAGGCATGGGGATCAAAGCCCTCTCCCATGACAGCATCTTCATATTGCAGCCTGAGCCTGAAAGATCAGCAAGCAAATTATACCCCTCTCCAGAGCCCCAGAGAGGCAGACCTCTGCAGGTAAGTGTGAACTCGAGCGTCAGCGCCTAACTGGACTATTTCTCTTTCATTCCCTACTTCTACCTTGCCAAAAAATGAGGAGGGAAGAATTTGACCTGCTTCTCAGTTGATTCTACCCCACAGGGCTGTTGTAAACATTGAATGAGAGAATGTAAAAGAGTATGGTGTGCTTACCTGGTCCCCTGCGCAGTGTTGGCTGGTATGACCTTAGTCACTTCTCTTGACCCACCCCAAGAATGTTTTAAGTACTATGATGGTGACATTCTGCTGTTAATGTGCAGGCCTTCTAACCATGTTTTTTCTTTCTTCCACAGAGATCTCATGTTTCCAGAACTCTGCCTAGAACTGGGACTGGTAGTGTGCGTGGAGCTGTTTCTAGAGCTGTGTTTGGAGTTATGCCCCAATATGTGCCCAGAAGTGGAATCTGGGTTGAAGGCTCCAAGTTTACTGAGGTAATAGAGTGAAATCGTTCAAAGTATAGCAGCTGAGTCAGTCAGACTGACCTATGCTTGAATTCTTGCTCTGCTACTTACTGGCTTTGTGACCTTGGGCTAATTGCTTAACCTCTCTGAGCTTTTGTTTCCTCATCTACAATGGGTATAATATTAATATATACCTCAAAGGGTTGCTTGTGAGATTGAATAAAGACTCAGAGAGGTTAAAGAAATTGCTCAAGCTCACTCAGGTAGTAAGTGGTAGGCCTGGAAATCTTACTCAGATGTGCTGACCTCAAAACCCCTGATTTTTCCATTATTCCAGCTCCAAGATGTTCATCGTCTTTGTACCTGCCTCAACAGGGAGAAGGATACACCTGTAGTCTCCGTAAAATGCAGCATGTACATAGGGCAGTGTCTTACCTCCAGCTAATCATAACCATTGCTCGGTCAGACTTTTCTGGAGCTCTGATCTAGAAATGCTCCAGGACAAGCTGGAGATATTGCCAGGGAGTAACCCTTAGCACCTACCTTCCTCCTTCTCTCAGCTGTGGGTGGGATTATACCCAAAGATCTCTGTGTAACTGGAAAGGCCACCCAGGAGGAGACCCTTCTCCACTGGAGAGCTAATTGTTTGGAATTTGGCAAAAGGTGACTAGGGATTATTTCTGACATGTCTGCTGAAGATCCCATATCTCTCGCTATGGTTTCTGTACCGTATATGGACGTTCTCCTGAGTACATTAGCCATGAAGGGTGGAGAAGCCAACACTGAGCTGGTCTCCAATGGCGCTGATCTTATGGTTGTAAAGCAGCCCCGCGGTCAGCGGACTGTTGCCCTCTTGCACTACAGCAGGGGAGGCACTTCCGTGAACTTTCCAGTCTTCAGTTTTAAACATCAACACCAGCTTTCGCTTGTCTCCACAGCTACACTCCCTTGCCACCCAGCGGCAAAACTCTAGGTATACGTGACTGAGCGCCACAGGGTTACTTCTCATATTTAGAAAGGGGAAACCTGTTTCCTGGACTCCTCCCTCTCTCCCTCCTCCCTTAGTCCCAGCAACAGAGAGACTCTTATAGCACAGATATTCCATTTTTTTTAAAAAAAGATGATTTTTTGGTGAAAATTAAAGGGAAAGATTCCAGGGCCATTTCCTCTCACAGTGAAGGGGGTGGGGAAAGCCACAATAGCCCAAAGGCAAGTTTTCTTAAATGTCTTGTTTGGGCCTACACCTCACACCTTTGGTGTGCTCCCCTAGTCTCTCCCCTGGGAAACAGGCGTGAAGACAGCATAGGGTATTCCCAGAACCTGAGTCATCAACAACCAGATTGACCTTTGCCTGGGAAATTTCCCTTAAGTGCCACGGTAACAATCCTAAATGACAGGGTAGTTGATAGCAATAAGTCAAGGGTCCTGACACCCAGTGCTGCATTGAAGCTGGGGCAAGAATGGAATTGGCCAGTGGCTGGGTCCCTTGAAGGAGCACGATTCTTTTTTTTTAAAATTTTTATTGAGATTATGATAGTTTACAACCTTGTGAAATTTCAGATGTACATTATTGTTTGTCAGTCATGTTGCAGGTATACCACTTCACCCTTTGTGCCCACCCCCCATCCCCGCTTTCCCCTGGTAACCACTAATCTGTTCTCTTTGTCTACATGTTTAACTTCCACATATGAGTGGAGTCATACAGAGATTGTCTTTCTCTATCTGGCTTATTTCACTTAACATAATACCCTCAAGGTCCATCCATGTTGTTTTGAATGGGACGAATTTGTTCCTTTTTATGGCTGAGTAGTATTCCATTGTATATATATACATATCTTCTTTATCCAGTCATCAGTTGATGAGCGCTTAGGTTCCTTCCACGTCTTAGCTATTGTGAATAATGCTGCAATGAACATAGGGGTGCATGGGACTTTTGGAATTGCTGATTTCAAGTTCTTTGGATAGATACCCAGTAGTGGGATGGCTGGGTCATATGGTAGTTCTATTTTCAATTTTTTGAGACACCTCCATACTGTTTTCCATAGTGGCTATACAGTTTGCATTCCCACCAGCAGTGGATGAGGGTTCCTTTTTCTCCACAACCTCTCCAACATTTGTTACTTTTTGTTTTGGTTATTTTTGCCATTCTAATGGGTGTAAGGAGATATCTTAGTGTAGTTTTGTTTTTTGTGTTTTTTTTTTAAAGATTTTATTTTTCCTTTTTCTCTCAAAGCCCCCCGGTACATAGTTGTGTATTTTTAGTTGTGGGTTCTTCCAGTTGTGCTATGTGGGACGCCGCCTCAGCATGGCCTGATGAGTGGTGCCATGTCCCTGCCCAGGATCCGAACCAGCGAAACCCTGGGCTGCCAAAGCGGAGCGCGCGAACTTAACCACTTGGCCATGAGGCCGACCTCCTCTTTCTGATTCCTTAAGGTGAAGTGTTAGGTTATTGATTTGAGATCTTTCTTCTTTGTTAACATAGGCATGTACAGCTATAAATTTTTGAGGACTGCATTTGCTGTATCACATAATCTTTGTTACGTTGTGTTTTAGTTTTCATTCACATCAAAGTATTTTCTAACTTTCATTTGATTTCTTTTTTGATCCATTGGTTCCTTAAGGGTGTGTTGTTTAATTTCTACCTATTTGTAAGTTTTCCAATTTTCCTTTTGCTACTGGTTTCTAGTTTCATTCTGTTGTGGTTAGAGAAGATACTTTGTATGATTTCAGTCTTTTTTAAATTTATTAAGACTTATTTTGTGGCCTAACATATGGTCTATCCAGGAGAATGTTCCAGATGTACTTCAGTAGCATATGTATTATGTACTTGTTGGATGGAATGTTCTGTATATATATTTTAGGTTTACTTTGTTTATAGTATTATTTCAAGTCCCCTATTTCCTTATTAATCTTCTGTATAGTTGCTTGTTCATTATTAAAACTGGGATGCTGAAGTCTCTAACTATTATTGTAGAATTGTCTATTTCTCCCTTTGATTCTGTCAATTTTTGCTTCATGTATTTGGGGTTGAGTCTGTTGTTTGGTGTGTATGTGTTTATGATTGTTCTATCTTCCTGCTGGATTGACTCTTTTATCAATGTGTAATGTCCATCTTTGTCTCCTAGAAAAATTTTGACTTAAAGTCTATTTTGTTTGCTGTTAGTATAGCCACCTCAGCTCTCTTTCATCTACTATTTGCTTGGAATATCTTTTATCATCCTTTCACTTTCAACCTATTTGTGTCTTTGGATATAAAGTGAGTCTCTTGTAGACAGCATATAAATGGCTCATGTTTTTTAAATCAATCTTGCCAGTTCCTACCTTTTGATTGGAGAGTTTACTTCATTTACACTCATAGTAATTGCTAATAAGGAAGGACTTACTTCTGCCATTCTGCTCTTTTTTCCCCTATGTATCTTATATCGTTTTTGTTCCTCAGTTCTTCCATTACTACCTTCCTTTGGATTTAATTGACTTTTTTTTTAGTGTACTGTTTTCATTTCCTTCTCATTTCCTTCTCTCTATATTTTAAAACATTTTCTCAGTGGTTACCTTGGGGATTACAATTAAGAAAATTAGTTAACATTTTAAGACATGTAGTTTTGTCTTTCTATTAATTTGAATAGGCTATGTATTTTATAGGTTAATTAATAGAGTTAAATTATAGTCAACATTTCCAAGCATCAGTTTAAATATTTGTCGTGTTTGAATATAATAAACTCTCTATTAGTAAATTCAAGAGTTGAGTCAGGTTGCTGTAGGTTAAATAGCGGGCTGGCAGGCAGAAAGTCTAGTCTTTGGTGGTACAGTCAAACCCCTACCACCTCCAAGTATGAGATTTCCCTAGATATTTCTGCCATGCTTCCTGGTTTGTTAGTTCATTGTGCTGAACACATGAGGGGCAGGTGGCAGCAACAGCAGCAATAGCAGCGGCAGCATCCCAAGAAGCAACTGTAATCACCATCCCAACCAGATGTGCTGGCCTGGATGCTTCTCTGAGCTTCTCATAAATTATGACCCCCAACTCTTATATCCCCAAAGGCCTTACCACAAACCCAGCTCCTACTGCCTTCTCACTGAGCATCAACTAGGGAGCTAGGCAGAAGACTAAATTATCTAAACAGAGAAGTCAGCAGACACACAGATCAATGGAACAGAATTGTGAGCCCAGAAATAAACCCACACATCTATAGGCAGCTAATTTTTGACAAAGGCTCCGAGAACATACAATGGAGAAAGGAAAGTCTCTTCAATAAATGGTGTTGGGAAAACGAGACAGCCACATGCAAAAGAATGAAAATAGACTATTATCTTACGCCATACACAAAAATTAATTCAAAATGGATTAAAGACTTGAATGTAAGACCTGCAACCATAAAACTCCTAGAAGAAAACGTGGACAGTATGGTCTTCAACATTGGTCTTAGCAGTATCTTTTTAAATACCATGTCTCCCCAGGCAAGGGAAACAAAAGAAAAAATAAACAAATGAGACTACATCAAACTAAAAAGCTTCTGCAAGGCAAAGGAAATCATCAGCAAAACGAAACGGAAAGACAACCTAACGATTGGGAGAAGATATTTGCAAGTCATATATCTGATAAAGGGGTCAATAAAAGATGACTAAATCTTTACCCCTTCAGAGGAGTCTTTCCAAGTTTGCTGTTTTATTCTTTCTTCTCTGAGCTGCTACCTCCTACTGGTGGCAGGGGGAAACACATGTTATCCCAGGAAATCTTTTACCCTAGGCTTATTTTCTCCTCTAAATCCCCTGGGACAGAATAGGAAGGCCTGTCTTAAACCCTTGTCGTCTCAGCCTATTTCTTCCACATTTCCTCGGGTGAAGAGTTAGGTGCCTTGTCCCTTTCAGTTCTAGTTACCAAAGCTTGCTGTTTCTTCCCTGAGTGATCTTCCTCTTTGGGTCTCACAGCCCTCTGACCCGGTTCAGTGGCTTCTATTCTTTGAGTATAGGAGAGATGGGCAGTGAGGATGAACAGGTATCTCTGTGTAGCTTATATGACATACTGAGCC